GCCACCTCTGGCTGTGTCTGGCCGACATGAGGGACGCTGACAAAGATCGGTTCCTCAAGGCCCACGTGTCCCAGACCGGCCTCTTCGGCAACACAGTCAAGAACTTTTCTCGGGAGCAGTTCTCGGCTGCACAGGAGCAGACTGAGGTGATCCGACACGTCCTGCCCAGCCCAGCCAGCTCGTCACTGAGGGTGGCCCCCTGCGTCCGCCTCCAGTCAAGTAGCACCGTGGAGCCGGGCGTAGGCAGGCCGCCCCGCCCGTCCAGGCCCCCATCAAATCTGGCGGTAAGCAGAAGAGCAAGAAACCCCGGGATGGGCGACCCAGAGAGGGAGGGAACTGCTCTTCGGGAGATTGTGAACGCACCTCTCCCTCCCTCGGAGGAGGGCCAGTGGAGAATCTTTTGTTTCCAAAAATCTCAACAATAGAGTGGTTTTCTCTATCTCTGGGTCCCAAGAGGGCACGGTGAGTCACGAACGGACCAAACCCCCACTGCGGGTACGTCGGTGGTTCTGCTGGTCCCGCTTGTACGGTATCTGGGTGCCTGGCTAACGCTACCCAGCCTGTCTCGCTGGCTCCTGTGGACCGGCGTCTTCCATATGTACCTAAGGTTTTTTCAGAATGTTGACACCAGTTGTGTTGGTTGTGTTGCGTTTCTAAATATAAAGAGCTCAGATATTAAAAATGTCAAATTGCATATAATAAAATGATAGAACACGTAATGAAAAATGGAAGCATTTTATAATTAGCATGACCTGTATGACAGCACTAATTTGACATTTCAGCTCAATACAATCAATACCTGAGTTCAGCAAATGTCATCACAATTAAACTGTCTGCAATTAAGCTGATATTTTGAAGAATGTCGGTATCCAAACAGTAACTTACATAGTATAGGTTAAAAATACTATAGATGTCAATGGCTACCATCAACCGTTTGGTTACAAACATTCTTTAAATTATTTTCTTTTGTGTTCAACAGAAGAAAGAAACTCACAGAGGTGTATAACAACATGAGGGTGAATAAATTATGACAGAATTTTTATTTTGGGATGAACTATCCCTTTAATCAGGGTTATACTGAGATTGAGTTGAAATGAGACACTGAGCGGTTGAAATGACTTGAAATGAAATCTTTTTCCATATTCAGCTCCTTCTTGGAATTGCAGCCTTGCAGGACAACCTCAGCCCTGAATGGAAAATTAAATGTGCCTTGTGCAACAATACCAGGTTAATCTCCTCAAATATATGGTTGAGGAATATATGTGCTGGCTGGACTTCAGAGGCAGTCAAAGAGCTTAGACTGTGACTGATTTGGCGCTTTGTGCCACCAAACACTCAGTTTGTGAGATCGGCCACTTGACTGCAGTGTTTGCAGAACTTCACTCTAACAAAGAGCAGTTTCATAATGTTGATGCAGAAACACATTATGACTCATATTCGACCAGGAGACTGGATTGTTATGTTCTGAAAGATGCAGAAGATTTTCATATTTTAATCATTCAGAAACACAAGAACTTCCTCAGGTTTCTTCTGGCGGAAAAGCTTACCAATTTTAGGTTATTTCTTTTAGCCTGGCAGTAGCTGCTTCTGACTCGACTGTGACTCCAGGGCTTGCGTGTCTTGAATTACCTCAATGATTGGATAATTCTGACTAAATCAGAGGCTTTGGTGTCTCAGCATTGAGACCTTGTTCTCAATCACCTTCAAAGGCTGGCTATCATGCTAACCATACGCTATGTCAGCAGCAAAGTTACTAGATAGAAATCCAAAAGTTGATGCTTTAAAAACCACAGAACACAAACACAATAGTAATCCATATGACCTGAGTTGATGAATATCTTCTGAAACTAAACAACTTTTAGTCCCTCTTTTCACTGGGATTGTTTCAAATTTAGTATTTTCTTTTTTCATATATATTTTTATATTTGTCATTCAGATAACCAAAAACATCCTAATTTTGGAGGGTGACCACATGTCAATTAAGAACAATATATATTTTTACAAGAGAGATATTAAAAAAAGGGCTTTGTCCAAAATAAAATATAGTTAAAGTTTCATAAAGTCAATTTTTATGAAATGAATGACAGTAACAGGATTGACGTCATTGTCACAGGACTGACCAGAGTAACAGGGATGACAGGACACACATTCTTCAGCACACTGCACATATTTGTTTACATAATACTGTAAAGTTTTACCATTTTAAATTGCATTATATTGTTTTGTTTTTTCAGTTAAAGTCAGTTCATTGTTGACTTAGCACATTCCATTTCTAAGAGATCTAATGTTTTAAGGGTATTGTAATTAGATAAAGCACCCATCTGTTTGTCTGTGTCCCCTCAAAGAACTTCAAATATACTGATCTGGTTCAATTATGAGGCAAGGAAGATGATCAGATCTTGACTTTCTTGCAGTGTTAATTTCGTTGACTAATAATTTCCGTCATATTTTTCGTCAACGACATTTTTTTCATCAGAAGGACGATTTGGGAAGAGATTCATTCAGAATGAATCTGCTGCGTGGTTCGGAGGTTAGATGCGTACATATGAACCGGCGGGACATAAGCTAACATAGGACTACACTTGCTGCACGTCGCATAAAACGTTAAAAAATGTCAATATGTGGGTGTAAGAGATACATATGTCTGCTTGAAAGAATGAAGAATATGGTAAACAAGTTGCTATAAAGAATGCATAATTAGCCTATATAACATTGGTATTTCATTAAAAAGAAGACCATGTTCTTGTTCTTTATGAGAAGTGGTTTTATTTAATTTTAACATAAAGCCATGTTGTGTGTCACCGCAGTTAAATCGGTGTCTATCATGATAAAACCTATCAAACCTATATAATGAGTTTGGAAATTTTTGAGAAATGCTTAATAAATGCACTGTAACTAAACCCATTAGATTTTAGACGACTAAATTTACTGTAGATTTATTTATGTAACATATAACATGTTCAGTTACAATATTTAGTCGACTAAAACTAAATGGCATTTTAGTCAAAAGACTATGACTAAAACTAAATAATAATTTGCTGTCAAAATTAACACTGAT